GGTCTTGCTGCCCTTCCCCTTCACCTTCACGACCTCTTCCTCTTTCTCCCTCGTCCCCTTCCCCTTCCCTCCCTTTCTCTTCCTCCCATCTTCCCAGCACGTCCTCTCTCTCTCTCTCTCTCTCTCTCTCTCTCTCTCTCTCTCTCTCTCTCTCTCTCTCTCTCTCTCTCTCTCTCTCTCTCTCTCTCTCTCTCTCTCTCTCTCTCTCTCTCTCTCTCTCTCTCTCTCTCTCTCTCTCTCTCTCTCTCTCTCTCTCTCTCTCTCTCTCTCTCTCTCTCTCTCTCTGTCTCTCTCTCTTTCTCTCTTGGTCTCTTTCTCTCTTTCTCGTTGGCTTTACCGGCGTCGCCCCCCACCCTCTTGTCAACGTAAGAGTTATTGAATTCACATGTGTCAGAAGAAGTTTTATGTCGCGTACGCTATTGCTGAAAGGGTCGTATCCGTTTTTTATGGTCATATCCCCTGCTTTTATTGACATTTTATTGCTTTTCTGTCAACTTCCATTTTCCACTGTATCAAAACTCGGTGCAGGTGACCAGCGCCGAGAGCAGGAGAAAACAAGAAAAGAACACAAGGCAGGACATATAACATCATCTTCAAGAGCACAAGGCAGGACATATAACATCATCTTCAAGAGCACAAGGCAGGACATATAACATCATCTTCAAGAACACAAGGCAGGACATATAACATCATCTTCAAGAACACAAGGCAGGACATATAACATCATCTTCAAGAACACAAGGCAGGACATATAACATCATCTTCAAGAACACAAGGCAGGACATATAACATCATCTTCAAGAACACAAGGCAGGACATATAACATCATCTTCAAGAACACAAGGCAGGACATGTAACATCATCTTCAAGAACACAAGGCAGGACATGTAACATCATCTTCAAGAGCACAAGGCAGGACATATAACATCATCTTCAAGAACACAAGGCAGGACATATAACATCATCTTCAAGAACACAAGGCAGGACATATAACATCATCTTCAAGAACACAAGGCAGGACATGTAACATCATCTTCAAGAACACAAGGCAGGACATATAACATCATCTTCAAGAACACAAGGCAGGACATATAACATCATCTTCAAGAGCACAAGGCAGGACATATAACATCATCTTCAAGAACACAAGGCAGGACATATAACATCATCTTCAAGAACACAAGGCAGGACATATAACATCATCTTCAAGAACACAAGGCAGGACATGTAACATCATCTTCAAGAACACAAGGCAGGACATATAACATCATACATATAACATCATCTTAAGGCAAACAGAAGGCTCGCTACTGGAAACAGTATCTTTCAAAAAAGGAAGGAAAAAGCAGAGCAGATCTGAACAGGAAGAAGTCAAGATAAGTAATAAGCCATGAGCGTTGGTACATGGATGCAGAAAAAAAGGAATGAACTTGATGCGATACGACCACGGCAACCTAGGACAGCAGCATCATTGGCAACCATACAGCAACCTATGGTCAAATAGAGAAAGTGCTACTAGGAACACGACGGTTATAACAAACACAACCACTCAGAGGTGAGAGTGAGAATATTTCATGTCCATGTTGTCGCCTTAGAATGTTTTATTGAAGAATTGTCTCTGTCGAATTATGTCATTTTTCAAAGATCAAATTCTGTCAACGACGGGGGAGGACACACGGGAGGTCACGGAGGTTCCGTTCTGCTGCAAGTTTTGAGACACAATGAGCCGCACGTATGTGCCAGGGGTGCCCAGGATGAGGTTGGCAACTTGCTCGATGCTCATCCGGTAGACGTTGTGCTTGTCAATCTCGTGAATGATATCCCCGACCTGCAACTGCCCGCTGCTTGCCGCACTTCCCTGAACATCACACGTCAGCCGTTGACAAGCGCAGCAGCAGCAGCTACGGCACCTCGGGGAGCAGAGAGTGAACAACGATAGGGCCAACTCCTGTCGTCTTGAGGAATTGCAGACCCAGCCCGACTCGCGGCCCAACATTGGGGCCTCGCTTGATGATCGCCATACGCACTGGGAAGTTGTATTTCTTCAAAGACAATCAGCCATGGGATTTGAGATTAAAAACAGATACCCGAGTCAACAACGCTGGAGTCTCCTTAGAGATGCAAATAGTAGAGAAAGGCTCTCCAAGTAGCATTCTCGAAAGAGCTTCAGCGTCTTTATCATAGATGCTGTAAAGAATAAAGTGGTCAGTCAACCACATGGGTCGTTCGTCACTTGCCTGAGATGGTTGATAGCGTGGATGAGGTCGCCTTCAATGAATCCAGCATTGGCTGCAGGGCTCTGATTATTGTTAGGATTCTGCTGCAAGAGAAACTGAGCTCACATTGGGGATTACTCTCACAACTTCGAAGGCTCCAGTTGCTGTCTTCATAAACTGAAATCCAAGCCTCCCATTCGCGTCGCGGTTCAAAGAGAACAGCACTGGGCCCTGTATGACTGATATCAACGCATATGCGAGCAGGTGTACAAGAGCTGCTCACCGTGTGTTGAGGAAGGTAACTCATGGATCCCTGGGAGGTGAGCAGAAAGACAGGCGATCCAGGCTTGCCCATCAAGGCTCTGATGACTTCCATTGGCGACATGGAGTAGACGTTGACGTATCCGACCTCATGGATCAGGTCCCCAACTTGAATCATCCCGCTCAACGCGGCGTTTCCCTAGAGGATACAAGTCATTGGAACAGATCTGCTATAGTCAAAACTACCCCAGGAGAAAGCGACGCGACAACGCAGGGGCCGAATGAGCTTGCCTTGGCAAAAGTGAGACCAATGCCAGTGTTGCCAGTCCCGTTGTTTCGCAGAAAAGCCAATACTTTGACAGGGAAGCCATAGTTCTGCCAACAGAAGTCAGAACCGACACGGCGAAAAGGTAACAAGACGACAGACTTTGGATGGCGATGGCATGTGCGCGAAAGGGCTATCGGATATGGTAAGATTCACGACGCTCCCGGGAATCCCCGTGATGAACCACGAGACATCCTCGGGTGAGATGTTGTAAACGCTCTGACCGTCAACCTCATGAATCAAATCCCCGACGCGGAGAACCATGCTCTGTTCCGCCGCTCCCTGACATGCACAGGTCAGACCCTCGGCTATGTCTTTTCGGCTGGTTCACTTACAGACGGGACCAGAGCTGTGATCATGTAAGGACCGTAGTCCGTCTTGGTAAACTTGATGCCGATCCCACACCTCTGATCGCTTGCAGCATTCATCGCATACCTTCTGATTCCTACCGTTCGCATGTTCCTCGTCTGAGTTCAAAAAGTCAGAGCTCGTCAACCAAAGGTATCATGCTAACCTCATAGATACTTTGCTCCGAAGCAGCGTAATCCTGGGGAAGCATCTGGCCATCCATCGAGTTGTACAGGCCATAGCTCATGCGTCCATCGAAGGAGTTGTACAAGTTGTAATTCATCACTTCGACCATCCTGATTCCTTCGGTAATGAAGTCAATCTATTGTTCGACAGCCTTCAAACTGTCATCTCTTATTCTCAATACTTGATTTTGAAAACAGATGCTCAAATCTTTTGATCTACCTCTGAAGGACTACTCATCAGAGGCTATTCTCATTGGGCCTCAAGTCTTCTTCATCTCCGTCTTCTTCCTCTCTTTCCCTCTCGTTCTTCCTTCTTGCATGTTTCGGAGAATTCGACCACATTCCGCCCCCATCACGTTTGGGCTTTACCCACCCCTACCCCCGTCCATCCTTCCCCTTTACCCCCACCCCCTAATATCCCGAGCAGTACGAGCAGTGGTCCCCACCCCTCTCCACTACCCCTCCCTCCATACGTACCCTGCTAGTTCCAATCAACTTTTTATCTCACCCCACCCCACCCACTCCCGTGCGAGAAGTTCCCCCACTATGGTCGGACCCCACCCCTGTCTCCCCATTACCGTAGTATCAAACCTGCATCCCAAGGTACCGGTCCTTTGCGACAACATATTCCCCTACAGGTAACGGTCAGCATTGATCCCCCGTTCCTAGGAAATTTATAGAGAGGTGCTAAGCACGGTCATAGGAACTGGTCTTAGGGTCTAGTAGGGGTGCTGTCTGCCCTTTACTAGTAAAGGGGGTGTGTAAAAGCGCCTGTGCACCCTAGAGAGGGTGGGGTGGGGTAGTGAGGCCGCCGGGACGAGCTGAGTGCCTGACTAGACCCCTAGAGGGGCAGTGCGAGCATAGCCTAGTGGGGTGGGGTTGGCACTGTAGGGTGGCACTGCACACAGAGTCAGGGAGTTGTACGCCGGAGTTACCTGGGGGTGGGTTAGTGTGGGATAGTAGGGGGTGGGGGTGGACTCGCATATAACGGTCAAGTCCTGGGTCAAGTCAGCGAGTCAGCTGTGGGCTGTATGAGGGCCCGGCGAATCATATGTCTGTGCGGTATGAGGGCTAGAAGGAGGCTGTATGAGGGCAGTGGTAGCGCCGGGTCTGTGCGGTATGAGGGCTAGAATGAGGGCTGTATGAGGGCGCTGGGTCTGTGCGGTATGAGGGGAGTATCTGCTCTCATGTGCGATGACACGGAGAGGAGGGAGATGGCTGGAAAAACAAGGCGCCAGCGTCTCCTCGATGGCAAGGTTGGGGTCGCGGGGCTGCCCTGGCGCTGGCGGCTTGTGAGCGGAGGGCTTGCAGCTCCATGGCTTCAGCCTCCGGTCATCCTCGTCCCTCTGGTCTCAGACTCTTCCAAGTCGATGCCTTCACTCGCAGCGCCTTCGGTGGAAACCCTGCTGCCGTATGCTTCCTCCCTCCTCCCATCCACAAGGAGCAGGAGGATGGGCGAACGTGGAGCATCAGCGCAGGAGTTATGAAGGCCATAGCAGGGGAGATGGCACTATCGGAAACCGCCTTCCTCTCTCCCGCAAACCTCGACGAATCATTCGAATCAGCTGATCGCTTCTGCTTGCGATGGTTCACCCCTACCCGAGAAGTCGATCTCTGCGGTCATGCAACGATGGCTGCAGTAGCCGCATTGACACGGGCAGGGAATGCGAGCAAGAGCTTCTCCTTCAACACGTTGAGTGGCGAGTTGACAGCCGAAATTTGTGATGATGGTCAGATTGAGCTTGTGCTTCCTTGCAACGAGCCCTCGAAGGTACCGCAAGGAGCAGGAGCGCAGGTATGCGTCGAGGAGATCGCAGCTGTCTGTCTCGGATCCACCGAAAGTTTGAGCAAAGTGAGAGATGTATCGATTTCAGCAAGGGCGAAGAAGCTTCTGATCGAGATGGACTCCGCGAGATTCTCAAGGGATGACCTGGAGAATCTTTTGGTACCCTCCTCCTCCTCTTTGCTTGCCGTCAATCAAGAAGCTCTTTTGCCTGACCTCGAGGTCCGTGGCGTCATGATCTGCTTGCTCGGCACTGGTGATCCCTATGACTTCGTCTCTCGCTACTTCGCGCCATGGAATGGCATCGCAGAGGACGCGGTGACAGGGGCTGCTCATTCAGTTCTCGCTCCTTACTTCGCCGAGAAGCTCCAGCGGACGCAACTGAGAGCGCGGCAGTGCTCGCCGAGAGGAGGAGACCTGGACTTGGTGGTCGAGTGGGCAAGCAAAAAGGTCCGGATCAGGGGCCATGCCACAGTGGTGCTGGAGGGGCAGCTTTTCCTCTAGACGATGGGAGGACAATGGCGAGAAAGATTTGAGTGGGTCGCTTTCAGACTTGGGCTCCTCCTTACGTTCATTGTAAACAAACGAGGGACATGGAGAAGAGGAGCGAATACTAGAGGGTGTGTGGGTCGGAGGGGGAGAGAGAGACAAGGTAGAGGCGCAGGCTCACTGGCCGAACCTGATATCGTGTCAGAAAGGCCGGCCGAGACATCAGACTTGCCGAAATGAACTGAGGAAGCCGAATGTAGTCGGATAGACGAGCCTGTCGCAGACAAGTGAGGGAAGAGGCAGAAGATCAAGACTCAATGATGAGAAGATCAGTACGAGAAGGAAAGCACGTGGACCCTTGAAAGGGATGAATGAAGTAAGAGATGTACCAAGAAGTATCCTGTGAGAAAATAGATCCATGCGCAAAAGATAATAAGCACGGAGAGGGAGCTGGTGAAGAGTCATAAGGATTCGTGAAAGAAAAGGAGAAAAGCTCACAGAAAGACGAGGAGATCGCCGATCACCAGCAGCATCGGAAGGGGAAGGAGAGAAGATTGCATGCAAGTAGTGGCAGAGTAGCTGAGTGAAGTTCTCTCTCGCAGTCGATCCTGAAGATTACGAAGAACCGTCCTGGAGCACATGAGTACCCGCCTCCTCCAATGCCATCCTCTTACTTGATCTTCACGTCCTCTGTTTTCTCATAGAGGCTGGAGACATTGATCCGCTTGAGCTGATCATTCATGAAATTCACGTCTTTGCTCGTCAGCGATCTTCTTGCCTGGTATCATCTGACTTCAGCTGTCTGCTGCCAATTTCCTTCCTCTCTCTCCTTCCTCAAGGATCATCAATATCAAGAGTCCTTCCTCCTCTAACCTTAAGCGCCAATGGCACACTCTGCCTGACGGTAGAAGGAGATTCTGTCATCGCCATCCGCCAGTCGTCGATCCTCTCTAGGAGCATCGAGGCTCCTCCTCCTCGCATCACCCAAGACAAGTGTGCATTAGAGGAGGAGGGCCACTCGTCGGAGAGTGGGCATGACTCGAGCCTCGAGGTAAGAAGATGCCTAGACCTGCCCCTCAACTCACACATGAAGCAAACATCGTGCGACAGGACCCACCGACGGAAGCTGCCGTGAGGACAGACCATAGCCGAATGGTTAAAGCCCGTGAACCCTACTGGGGTATCACCGTATCGATGAAGCTGAAAAGAGGAGAAGATCACAAACAAAGCATGCAGGGCGAGACAAGGAGTGGAAGCGAGGGAGAGGGAGGGAGAGGGAGGGAGGGGAGGGGAGGGGAGGGGAGGGGAGGGGAGGGGAGGAGGGAGGGAGGGAGGAATTTCACGAGCCTTCATGGCAAGCATCTTGTTGATGGCTTCTCTCGGAGGAGGAAGGTCAGGATCCCATCGGAATCGCGCGAAGATCTTCGCCTGCGGGTAGAGGAGATCGAAGGTGGAGGCGCTGAGCTCCTTGGCAACGACGCGCATGAGGTTGTGAGCGATGTGACTTGACTCTAGAGGAGGATCGCTCGGGTTGATAGCAAGCGACACGTTGGCTGAAACCAGAAGGCGGTGACCGTAGTGAATCTCACTGACGTAGGAATGCGGAAGGTCCGCTCGCAGTTGTCCTTCCCTCAAGTCAGGATGAGCATCCTGTGACTTGCGCCGCATCTCCTGCAAGTTGACACTGCTCATGTAGTGCGTCTCTTCTTCCATCACTCGCACTTTATACCGGAGCAGAGAAACCACAAAGCGTGAGATGCTGCTGATTGTCACTCGCTCCTCTCCACCACCTCCCTCATCTCTCATCTTGGAAGACTTGCGGATAGCGTCGGCGATGGTTGGCCACAATCGTGGCACGCGAGGAGCGAAGGCCTGGGGCTCGTTGTCTCGTGTTGGCTTCATGCTCCTCTGCGCGTCAGGCAACGAGGTTTGCTGCCTCGGATCTTGGTTCGACGCCCCTGCCAGCCCGATGGGTACAACAGACAAGTAGGAAGAAGATGCAAGCGCTGCATCCCTTGTCATGCGATCTATGGTGTTGAAGTACTCAATCTGCCGTCTATGGGCGACGAAACTCCAATTGATGTTGTCTTCCACGACATATTTGTTGTCGGCACTGAGTAACTGAAGCTTGAAGTCGGGAAGGACTCCTCCTCCTAGAATGAGCTTTCCCTGCGAGAATTGTTCCTCTGATAGAGTCTGGCCGAGGAGGGGAGACGTGAGGTCTGTGAGGTAAAACAACTGCAAGCGCATCAAACGCATCAAGCAAGATTCGGCTGACCTGGGAGGTTGACTTGTCTGTGACGCAGAAAGAAACTGACGATTGACCGCCGGAGAGACCAAGAGAGGAGTGAACGCGAGGAAGGAGGAGGAGGAGGAGGTACAAGAGGAGGAGGAACTTTTGAGCGATCATCACGAGCAAGATTCAGCCGAACAAGCTCTACCATCAAGCCTCATGTTCACCACCTCCACTGCATGTCTTTGTAGTTCACCGGTCCCTCTGAGCTCTAAATCACCGGTACTCAGTGCTCGAAATCACCGGTACTTTTTCACTCGCATGCACCGGTACTGGCGGTTCTCTCAGCCGAGATTCAATATTTGGAGTGCCGCGGCCGGGCGTCACCGGTGACCCGGGCGTTGCGCTTTCCGAGTTTACTAAAGTTACGAGCCCGGAGCCTGACGGCTTCTCTCTCTGCCGGGTGCCACGGTGGCTGGCGGATCGCTCGGCGAACTTCTTGGCACGGGCCGGGCGAAACGGCAGCCTCCGACGCTGGGGCCAGCCTGATGGTCTCTCGGCCTCGTTCTCCGATCGGACTTGCAAACGCTCACAAGCGGCGGGATATAGTACTGACTTAAGCCAGGGCCTTGAAGGCTCCGACACTAGCGGCCTCGGACCGGGCCGCGGGCCCGGGTGACGGATTGGTCTGGCAAGCGACTCAATCACTGACTCGGAGTAACTTGACTGAGGGGCCGCCGGGGCCGGGCGAGTCTTTGTTCCATCAGACTCTTTTGGTCGTACATCTCGGAATGGGTAGGGGGTGGTAAATGTTCGAATAATGGTGGTGGGGTGACAAAAGAAGGGGTCAATTTAACATGATTTCATGCAGTATGATTCAACGAGGGTGGGGTTATGGAAATGATTGAGGGGGTGAAGAGTGTGGAAACAGGGTAGGGGTGATAGACCGCAGAAGATGCATGTGCGGATTCCCTGCGAAAGAGAAAGTAGAGATGGAGGGGAGGAGAGGAAGGGAGAACAGAGGAGAGGGGAGGCGAAGAGAAGACCGCAGAGGGCAGGAGAGGTCAGGGACAAGGGAATGGGAGAGAAGGCAAGAAGAGATAACAGCAGGTTAGAAGATGAGAAAGAAGTGATGGGACCAGACGAAGAAACCAGAGGAGCTCAAGAGAGGAGAGGAGAGGAGAGGAGAGGAGAGGATATAAAGGACAGAACAGAAAAGAATAGAAGGGAAGAATACAGAAAGGAAGGGAAGGAGGATCAAACGACTCCCTGACGGTTGTGAGGGGGAAAGTGAGGAGAGATGATAGGAAGCGCCTGACCGAATTTTCTGATCTCCTCCAAGTCTTTAAAGATGAACCTTGTTGCAGCAGTACTTTTGACCCCCAGCTCTTTGACATGTCGACGTGCAGTAGTGTCTGTCAAGGTACTTTCCTCTATGTGCTACTCTGAATCATCGAAGAAATTTGTGACGCAGCACTGACTTGTTTTTCCGCAGTGACGATGTATGTGCACACGTGATCGGGACTAGATTCTCTGAACGAATGTAGGAGGTGTTCGTTACTTCTGTTACGATCGCTAACTGGGAAACAGAATGGGAATTCCTACAGTATTTGTCAAAAAAAACTTGCACAAAAAGAAGCACGAGAAAGGCTCTAAAGACATTGATGATGATTTGCGAGGAAAAAGACAATACTTGCACCGCAAGATAAATTTCATTCCAGCCAAACGGCAAGAAAATTCGATCGTGTTGGACTCGTCGTTGAATCAGCCCTCAGTGGCCAACCACAGTAAGGCGATTAAAATGCCTCGGAAGCTTGAAGGCGATCAGTTCGAAGAGCCCGAACATCACCTGTACCCCAAGATCCGACTGCTTCGCGTCCTGAACTGGAAGCATGTGAATAAGATCGGGCCTGGCTTGTTGAATGTGGGCAACACTTGCTTCTGCAACGCGGTGCTGCAGTGTCTGACATACACTCCTCCCCTTGCAAACCTCTGCAAAGCACAAGAGCACTCTAAGAGGGTGAAAAGCTAACTGCCAGTGCCTCGCCTCTTGACCTTTTCCTCTCAGATCACCAGAGACGGTCAGGGGAAGTTCGACGCGCTGAAAGAGGTTGAGAGACACATCATCACCTCCTCTCGCTGCACGCAGGGAGTGCTGAAGCCAAGCAACATCGTCAACTCCTTTCGCAAGATTGGAGCTCGTTTGCGGTTGGGGCGGCAGGAAGATGCTCATGAGTTCACGAGGCTCTTGATGGAAGCCATGCACCTCGCCGACCTCGCAGCCTGCCGATTCACCGAGTCTCCGTATTCTCGTGCGGCACAGACAGGTGGGTGAGAGATGAGGCGCTGCTTGCGAGACGGTGATGGGCTTGAAGGGCTGGTGCATGGAATCTTCGGGGGCCATCTGAGGAGTCAAGTCCGCTGCGAGACCTGTCGGTACAATTCCAACACTTATGATGCCTTTCTTGGTGAGGAGCTTGAAGCCAAGAGACTTGCTTTCTCTGATATGATCGGATGCTCACTGCAGATCTTTCTCTTGAAATCAAGAAGGCAGACAATATCACAGATGCTCTCCGACTTTTCACAAAACCAGAAATTCTAGACGGAAACAACAAGTGAGGAATGGCGGTTGGAGCAGCGGTCGCTAAGAGTCTTGACCAGGTACAAGTGCTCTCACTGTGGCTGCAAGACACGAGCAACAAAGAGGTTTTCAGTTCACAGGTAGGTGTGAGCGGTCGCGATGATATCTCCCTCACATTCAACAGAGCTCCACTCGTCCTTCAACTTCATCTCAAGAGGTTTGAAACATCTTGGAGCGGCAACAGCTGTAAGTTGAGCAAGCACGTCATGGTAGAAGGGAAGCGTCTGAGTCTGTTTGGTGACTTGTCGTTCAGTTCGAGCAGACGCTGCAGCTCGATCCTTACATGAGTGAAGGAGAGAAGGCTGGCAGTCGTTACAAGTGAGTCCCTCGCTCCTCCTGTTGCCATGACTTTGACTTGTCATCTCAAGCCTTTACGGCGTGGTCGTGCATAGCGGACACTCGATGAAGAGTGGCCACTACTATGCCTTTGTGAAGAACTCCAACGGAGTATGGTACGAGATGGACGACGATAGCGTCCGTCAGGTCAGTTTCACTCTCTCCGCGGCTTCTCATCGCCCATTCAGGTCTCCTACAGCGCAGTCGCGCGGCAGCAGGCGTACATGCTCTTCTACGTGCAGCAACCTGACGGTAAGGTGGCGTGTCATCAACCCATTCTCAAGTTGAATGCAGCAAGCATCACAAGCCCCGCGCTCACCCCCAAGGCTGGCGCGAGTCCCCTGCTGAAGGCTCAGCTGCCTCCCATCAGCATCTCTCCGAGCTTTCTCGAGAAGATGCGGCTGTCCCCCGGACTGAAAAATGACGAGATGAAGAATGGCGTGCAGGAGAGCTCTCGAGCTCAAGATCAAGTCCAGCAGGTGATGAACTCAAATGGCATGAGCGACATAGAGTCCTCGGATGACGAGGAAAGCTCTTCTGCTAAGACGCGCGAAGAGAAGGACGATGAGGACTCGGAGGATGAAGACTCGGAGGAGGATGCATCTTTCGCGCCTTCTGATTCCGAAGGCTCCGAAGATGCGGGTGAAGAAACTTCATCTGACGACAGTAGAGACTCCTCCCGGCAGACCTTGACGAGCTTGCTTGCAAGCAGCATGGCGAGGATGCTGGGACCTCGAGTAAGCCTTCGGTCGCTCATCTCGAGGAACCGGAGATCCTGGCTGCAGTGTCTGTTACGTTATCGGGCCAGAAAGAGGCAGCCGAGGGGAGGGGCTGGCGCAGCAGCAGCAGCGATCGAGAAGCTACGAGCTCACAGAGCGACGAGCCTGACGACTCTCTAAGTGAGGACGCGAGAGAGAGCTCGTCAAGCTCCCGGCCTCCTCTTCTGCTGACCCTCAATGGCTCCGTCGCGCAGCGAGGGGCAACGTGGAGTACGGAGGGTCTAAAGGAAGTCATGGGAGTGAGAGGTGGGCAGTATCAGGTGCATGTGGACAACTGGGGAGGAGTGAGTCGACTCGTCCGCGTCTCTTGCCGCGCTCACTGCTCGCGTGCAGGAAGTAAAAGAGCTCGCAGACGAACAGCAGCAGCTGCTACGGACGAAAGAGCTGCGAGGATCGAAGCGATGGAGGGACTCATGGGATGAAGCCTACGATGAGGGCAAGGTGTGTGAAAGAAAGAGGAGCAGGGGGGAGGCGGAACGGAAGAAGAGTAGGAGGAGAGAAGAGGGGCAGATGGAGGACTCACCTTGCCCCTTTTAGGTCAAGAAAGTTCGGGAAAAGAAGATCTTCAAGCCCACTCAAGGAGCCGACAACCCGTCACCTGCTACTGATTCCTGGTATCGTTCTGACTGGCCGCAGATTTCAAAGTGGAAGCGAGCAGAAGATGCGCCGAGGAGGCCATGCTGGCGATACGATGAAGAACAAGGCAAGGAGAAGAGGAGCGAAGGAGGAGAGTGACAAGCTCCCAGGTACTTCGAAAGAGAGAACGCGAAGCACGGAAGAAGAAGACGTAGCTGCTCTCCTTAGCTGTTCTCATCCTCTGTTCTCCATAGCTCCATCAAGGGCGTTACCATCAGTTGTAAATCGACACGTGATGAAGAAATGAGCATAAAAACCTCGAGCGTCACGAGATCAGTCGTGTCCCTGACTTTGGTTATTGCGGCCTGTCAGCTTTTATTTCGCTGTGTGTTCTGTGCGTGTAAATTCTTGCTTGTTCCTGGTGACGCATCCAGTCCCCCCAGTGAGGAGGACCGGGGGGGAAGGGACGAGGAGGGGACGAGTTCACGACCTCTGCATTGTGCAGCTTCTCGCTGTGTGCTGTGTGCCTGGAGGTTTAGCTTGTTCCTGCTTGTTTTGCTTGAGGCACTTTTTCCCTTCTGCCAGTAAATCCATTGTCTCTCTGCAGCAGGTCCATCGTCAAGTCGCAGGATAGGGTCTTGCAGTCTACCATCTTCGCTCATTTTCCTGAGCGGGACCTGAGCCACTCTCCGATGCGAGTCTCGAGCTACTACCCCTCAAGGCCTTCCCGCACCGCTATGCTCAGATGCTCGACTGCTATCTCCATGGCATGCCGATCTGCCAGTGTCCGACGGAATGTGATGGATGTCAGCGCGAGCTCGACCCCTCCGTTGCTGCACATCATCTCCAGACCTACAAACGCCGATCCTCCAAGCTGGTCAATGCTGAACGAAGCTGGTCTTCAGAGCGTCATCGATACAGTCGGGGATCCTCGGTCTCGACGGCAGGTACCCTCCCATCCTCATGGCCGCAAAAAGAAGGGGGATATTCAGCTGCTGGTCCGAGCTCGCCTGCTTCCTCCCCGGCATCGGTCGGGTCACGCCGGTCCTTGGGCATTGCCGCGGCGTCGCCGCCGTCACGGGCGGCTACCGCTGACTCGGCTACCGCTGACTGCCCCGCTGACTCGGAGGCTAGCGAGGAAATGGATTTACTGGCAGAAGGGAAAAAGTGCCTCAAGCAAAACAAAGCAGGAACGAGGAGGACTACCTCGAGCGGTACCGTGTTCCCGTGTCCAGCCTCCCTCCGTCCGCTGCCCCAGGCGGACCCCCGGGCAACGCCGGCTCCTTGTCGGCGGCTGCCCTTTCCATTACCTTTCTCCGTCCGCGGCCGCCCGCTTTGTGGCGGCAGCGGACGTCTCGACTGACAGTCAATGGATTTACTGGCAGAAGGTAAAAAGTGCCTCAAGCATGAGGCACTTTTTACCTTCTGCCAGTAAATCCTATGCAAGCAGAACAAAGCAGGAACAAGCTAAACTTCCGAGTGGTGAGACCACAAGAGCTATCCCCGCTTCCTTTTTGTGACGTTGGTCCACCCTTACATTGGTAGCTCTGCCGACCTGACCAAGTTGGGAGGTCAACCTCGACGCCCTCCATGCTGCTTCAACCGTTGCTTGTTTGCCTGACCCTTCGGCTGCTTGTCTGCGCGGCTTCGCGCTTGGGCTGGCGCTGCCGCGTCTGGGTGCCAGCAGTGCTGGTTCTTTTCGGGCTTGTGTTTTGTGTGTGATTGTGCAGCTTCTCGCTGTGCGCTGTGTGCCCTGGAGGTTTAGCTTGTTCCTGCTTTGTTTTGCTTGAGGCACTTTTTACCTTCTGCCAGTAAATCCACTACCTAGCGAGGAGGACTACCTCGAGCGGTACCGTGTTCCTGTGTCCAGCCTCCCTCCGTCCGCTGCCCCAGGCGGACCCCCGGGCAACGCCGGCTCCTTGTCGGCGGCTGCCCTTTCTCCGTCCGCGGCCGCCCGCTTTGTGGCGGCAGCGGACGTCTCGACTGACAGTGGTCAGTCGGCTGCCTCCGGGTATCGCGTCTAAGGGATTTTCTTCCTCCTGCTTGCTCCTGCTGCTTGTTGCTTGATTGCTTGACCCTTAGGCTGCTTGTCTGCGCGGCTTCGCGCTTGGGCTGGCGCTGCCGCGTCTGGGTGCCAGCAGTGCTGGTTCTTTTCGGGCTTGTGTTTTGTGTGTGATTGTGCAGCTTCTCGCTGTGGACTGTGTGCCTGCCGGTTCAGCTTGTTCCTGCTTTGTTTTGCTTGAGGCACTTTTTACCTTCTGCCAGTAAATCCTATGTGACCTAGCCTATGTTGCAGCGTCTGAGAAGATTCGCAAACATCGCGCTGCATATGCCATGACTACTCCTCCTCGAGCGTTCATCCCTCTTGCCATCTCGACGGTACCCTGCATCCTGACACCCTCCGCTTCATCTGGTATCTGGCGGACATCGTTGCTCAGCGCTTAGGCTGCTTGTCTGCGCGGCTTCGCGCTTGGGCTGGCGCTGCCGCGTCTGGGTGCCAGCAGTGCTGGTTCTTTTCGGGCTTGTGTTTTGTGTGTGATTGTGCCGCTTCTCGCTGTGGACTGTGTGCCTGCCGGTTCAGCTTGATCCTGCTTTGTCACGTTTGCATGAGGCACTTTTTACCTTCTGCCATTGCTCAGCGCTCAATGCCTCTTGAGGATGCGGCGTTTGGTCGGCACTTCGTGCCTGATGACGGACCTGCTGCTGAGGTCTTGGCTCGCAAACGCGCCGCCACCTATCAGCGCCTCACCATGCAGCTGACGCTGGAAGCGCTCTTGTCTGGTGCGAGGCGCATGACGCCCTTGCGGGCGCAAGCACTTCTCGAGCCAGAGGACAGCTCCTCCTCGGACTTTGTCGAGTCGCCCGAGGAGTCTTCGCCGGAGGTCTCCGACTCCGATGGGGGACACCCTTCGAGTGGCCCCGACGATCGGCGCGGAGCTGGCGAGGCGTCTCCGTCCCTCACTGTGACGTCGGGTGCCTCCGGAGAGCTCGACACCACTGGGGTGCTTGCTGCTGGTCCGAGCTCGCCTGCTTCCTCCCCGGCATCGGTCGGGTCACGCCGGTCCTTGGGCATTGCCGCGGCGTCGCCGCCGTCACGGGCGGCTACCACTGACTCGGCTACCGCTGACTCGGAGGCTAGCGAGGAGGACTACCTCGAGCGGTACCGTGTTCCTGTGTCCAGCCTCCCTCCGTCCGCTGCCCCAGGCGGACCCCCGGGCAACGCCGGCTCCTTGTCGGCGGCTGCCCTTTCTCCGTCCGCGGCCGCCCGCTTTGTGGCGGCAGCGGACGTCTCGACTGACAGTGGTCAGTCGGCTGCCTCCGGGTATCGCGTCTAAGGGATTTTATTCCTCCTGCATGCTCCTGCTGCTTGTTGCTTGATTGCTTGACCATAAGCCTGCTGGTCGGTACGGTCTGCGCGGCTTCGCG